CCCCCGCCCTCCGCCCGCGCCCGCGCGGACACCCGCCCCAAAGCCCCAGGGCTCGGGCCCGCGTCCTTCTGTCCTGCGGGCCCGGGTGCAGCCGGACCCCCTGCAGTCCGGGGCTGGGCTCGCCCGTCTTCCTCGCCCCCTGGACGCAGCGAGATCACAAGAAGCAGCAAAAGTGAACGGTGTTCCTTTGATGTTCTCCTAAACAGTGTTAACCGCGCGGAATGTCCTGACAGGGACATGGCGCCCGCCGTTGATTCTCAGACTAAAAGGGGTGGCTACAGGCCGTGTAGTGCCCACGATGCGTTCATCCATTTCACCCCCGAGGTCTGGATCGGGAGCAAACGCTGTTTCCCAGAAGTTCTCTTTGATGCTGAGAACATGGTTTGTTTCCTCAAAGGAACATCAGGAGCGGAGTCGGTGCATGCAGGACCCAGGCCCCGCATGCTGGTCCTGCAGAGGCCCTGTCACCTCTTCCACGGGAAGGGTTTGTGAAGTTTCCCTCTAGAAGCAGGGACCCTCCCTCCACCTAGGGTTTCAGTCCCAAGTCCTTGACTTCGTAGCAGAATAGGGATTTCCAGACAAGTCACAATGGTTAGGGAAAGTTGGCCGGGCTTTATTGAGTAAGCAAGGGAGCAGGCAACAGGCCGAGGCACTGTTCGATTATTTGGACTTTGCCAGAAAACCACGCAGACATCCAGGTACAGAGAACAAAGAAAGGTTTACTGCCGGGAAAGGGCCCTGCACGACCCCTTCTCACAAGGGAGAAGTGAGAAGCAGCGCCGGCTACTGTCTGAGGTGATCTATATAACCTAGGAGGTTTAAAGAGGGGCTAGAAGGGCCTAGGAGGCAGAGACCCTGGTGTGGACATGTGGGCCAGGGGCTTCATCATGGCGGACTAGGGTTTATGGCTGCTGTCCAAATAGTAGGTAAGGGTCCTGCAGCTGCCCAGACCTGAAGGTCACTCTAAGGGGCTCTTGCTGCTTTCTATGCTGCCCCAGAGAAGTGCCATCGCAAGGTAGAGGGGGTTGCAGGCGGATTATTGACTGCCTTTACTGAATGGGCCTAGTGTTGCCTAGGAAGGGAGCATGCTAAGCTGTGGAGAGGGGAAGGAGCGTGCTAAGCTATGGGTAGGGAGCTCACTGGGCTAACAGGCATGCTGGAACAGAGAGTGAGGGTGCTCAAAAGGAGACACACCAGGCTTTTTGACATCTGATCAAGGCAAGGTTTGATTTTAAATTATTTTAGGATGAGTATTTTTCTTTGTCCTCACACTTGGTGCATCCACTCGCTCTTTGTGTTACAGTCCTAAGAATGACCTACTCCGTTGAACTTGAATCAGTATGTTTGGATATCCCTTCAAAGAAAGGATGCATTTTGCCATACTTTTTGTTTTTTTCTCAAGACTGATGTCCATCCTTGACATAAGTACTTTGTGCCTGGAAGAGTCATTTTTCCCAAGGGTTTGCTTTTCCAGGATACGTGTCTTTTTTTTTTTTTTTATGATGTCCTTGCTCAGTTTTTGAGCACACGAATTCTTTTGGGCCAGCAGACAAGGTCAGATGGAGAAAGCTGCTCTTGTTCTTTTTGCTTATGAAGATATATAAGAGATAAAACAAAGAAATAGTGCTTCTGTGCTTACTGTGGGGCTCGGGAGAAGTACACTCTTGGCCCACTTCATTGGCTACACCAGGCTTATTCCAAATGGGTCAGGGTCATTCCATTCTCCTTCCTCAGTGACTCATCTAGGGATAATCTGTAATTCTGACCTGGCCAGATACATTAGATGACACACTGTGCTTCACTCCTTTTACATGGTGGCATAAGAAAAGGCAGCCTGAAAAAAGAAGAAGAAAAAAAGGCAGCCTGGCATGTTGGCGGTCATCTCCTACTCAGGAAGTGACAAGCATGCAAAAAGACCAAAATGCTGAAGGCAGTGAGGACAAAGGATGGTCTTCACTAAACTGCTGAATATACTACTGCCCTTCAGACTCCTGAAGTAGCTAGCGCACATATACCCTATGGTGTAAACTACTTCCAGTTGAAATAACTACTTGCAACTCAATGCACTGTAGCCAAAACAATTACTTAGCATCCTTTTGGTGGAAATTCATCCCAGACAAAAATACTTGCAACAATTCACTCAATGAGCAGGGTACCCATGGGGAAAGCACTATAAATCACAGCAAGTATCACAAAGATAGCTGTGATATTTTTCTTTGCCTTCCAGATGTTCACCAGGAAAAAGACATAAAGCTAATACTATCATTCCTATGGAAATGCACAGAACCAGGAATAGGAAAAAATAATCTTGAAAAGGGACCTGCAGGGTATAGTCAGCATCCTGAGTAGACTAGGGCCAGAAACATTAAAATGGGATTTGGGGTCAGGGTGGGAACAAGTGAAGAAAAACCAAAATTGAAGTTTTTCTATTTCCACTTAGCTAAATAGAAATCCTACAGACTAGCTGTAATCCTAGCTAATCAGGAGGCTGAGACCTGAGGTAAGGTTCGAAGCCAGCCCAAGCAAGAAAGTCTGTGATACCCTTAACTCCAATTAACCACCAGAAAACTAGAAGTAGGGTTGTGGCTCACAGTGATAGAGCACTAGCCTTGAGTGAAAGAGCTCAGAAACAGCACCTAGGTCCTGAGTTCAAGCCCACAAATGATCATAAAAAAATTCTCCACACTAGAGTGCAATAGTCAAAATACTATTTTTCTTGTGAAGCTACAAATCTAGTTGTAGGCAGACCTACTCTTTGTTGTATAGAACAGCTTTCAGGCTGTGCCTAGCCCTTAGTTACTCCATTTTGTAAAACTGTTTTGACCTGAATCATACCATGTTGATTACTCCATTTGATTTCCATTTTGATTACAACCCTTGCCAGGACTGAATGATTATACATCTTGTCAGTATAGTTAACAACTGTCATATGCCAGCATAAGGCACAAACTAATTATTTGTTCCAATAAAGAATATATGTGTATATATCAGAAACACCACACACTTGAGCTTATCAATCATACCAGATGCAGCCTGGGACTTTTTCTGGTCCTGGGGCTTGGGTGCTGTCCCTGAGTTTCTCTTTTTTCAAGGTGAACACTTGAGCCACAGCACCACTTCTGGATTTTCCTGAGTAGTTTATTGATAAGAGTCTCATGGATTTTCCCACCCGTGCTGGATTTGAACAACAATCCTCAAATCTCAGCCTCCTGAGTAGCTAGGATTACAGGTATGAGCCACCGGTGCCTGCGCATCTCTGATTTTTTACCCCTCTTCATAATATTTAATTTTATTGTCAATAAATTTGGATTCAACTCAATAGGATAAAGAGATAGCCAGAAAGTGTTCAAGAACAATTCTGAGCATGTCTGAGTGTTTCTAGGGTAGTATTTGAACCAGTAACTAAACAAAGATTTGCTCACATCACCATGGGTACCCGGGTCTAGGTCTAGTTTTACCCATTGAAAGCTTGCTCAAAAAGAATGAAAAGGTAAAGTGATGGAGCACTTTCTCTCTTTCTTCTTGAGCTGAAACATCTGTTTTGTTTTGTTTTCTGTTGTCAGATACTAGACTTGTAGTTTCAGGCCTTGTACCAGCTGCTCCCTTCCCAGTTCTCATGTCCTCAACTTAGGACTGAAAATGACACCACCAACTTCGGTGGTTCATAGGCCTTCAGACTCAGACTGGACTCAGTTTCTAAACCAAATATGGTAGAGCTTCCTGGCCTCCATCACTGTGTGAGCCAAGGCACATAATAAATCTCCTCCTACGTAGCTATGTGTAGCCTATTGGTTCCATTTCTCTGGAGAACTCCGATTAACACATCCTTCCTCCATATTTATAAATCCCCTGTCACCAGCGCGAAGTCTGCTTTCTGTTATGGGCCAATGCATATTCTTACTTGCCCGATCCTTTTGTATGCAATCAGTCTCTGCTGCATGCTGGACTCTTCGGCTTCACACTTAGCTGCAACTGCTGATGAATCACTTGACTGCTTCTTTGCTCATCATGTTAACCTTGGCAAGAGCTCTAGAGTTGCCATTTTCTAATGTCTAACATCTGATGCGTGGCAGCTATCCATCTCCCTCACCAATTGCCATCGAAATTACCAGGGAAAGTTTTAACAGTGACACTCACGCTTCATACCAAGGATAATCTATGTGCGCCTGTCCCTGGTGATACTGACGTAAGGTCTGCCCCAAGCCAGCCACGCAGGCCCTGTAAAGACAGCTCCCTACCTCTTGGCTA